GACAGTTAAGGCCATCTATGGGCAAATTCCGGTTTCATATTTACAGACCTGGTAGTTTTCGAGAAAATGTCGTGTAACCATGAAGAGAAGTAAATATTGTATTACTAGATGGTATACACAAATTTGATGTTATATGCAATATTAGATACAAAGTTACTACCTTATAGCTATTTTTCTTAAAAAGGAATTATTAAAGGTTGATAGATAATATATGCAAATTTTATCAAGCAACGTGGTAGCGTTACAACGCCAAATACATAAAGACGAGTATATCTTCTGAAAATGATTGTGTTCATGGTCGATGACGATTGTGATGTTATCAGCTTTTTCGGAGTTTTTGCGTCGATCGTACAATCTGTCAAGTAAGAGCGTGTGTGGCCCTTATAGAAATATCATACTAAGAATCATTGATAATTACTTATTTTCAGTATTAAAAATACTGGAAAATAAGTAATTATCAATGATTCTTAGTATGATATTTCTATAAGGGGGGTTAATTTGTAAAAAAAATTATTTAATACAATTTTCAAATATATGAAGATCGAACCTTGTACTCGATCCGAACAAAGATGCAATTATATTAATAACGCGTCCAGTCACCGTCGACGTCGATAATTGCCTGCAATCTTCGAAACATGCTTTCGACTAAGTTGACAGCGTATTCATGCGATAAGGACTTCCAAATGCGAATTTCTCGAGTTAACTGCTTCAAAGTGAATATTTTTCTTCCACGAAGCTTGTGCTTGATGTATGCTCATTCTCGATTGGGTTTGCGTCCGGCGACTGCGACGGCCAATCAAATGTAAAAATGCCAGATTGCTTCTTCCACTCGGTGCAGAGCTTGCTGCGATGTTTGAGATCGTTGTCCTCCTGCTGGATCCAGTTCTCGTTGTTTTTGATGAACCAACGTTCGGCAGTCGATAATAAAGATTTTTTGTATATTTCGATCATTTTCGGAGCATTCAGATTGTAGGTAAACAGATACAAAGCTCCGAAACCCAGTTTTGAAAAACAGCCCAAAGATGCACCTTTACTGGGTGTTTAACGACTGTATCAACCGCTGTATCAACCGCTGTATCAACCTATTGGTGAAAGTTGACCAGGCTCGTGGAGCGATAACATATCCTCAAACAGAAGCTTCATCCGTAAAAATTACATTACTCCAATCTCGGTCAATATTGTCCTTCGCCCAAGCGAGTCACTTCGTCACGTGCTTTTCACCTAACAACGGTTTTTCACTGTACTGCGCCATCATGAACACGGAGATGGGTTCGGATAGCTTCATATGTTATATCTAAACCTTTCTGCTTCGATTTTGCTGCTCCTTGACAGCCGCACACGCTTTTACTTGACAGACTGTATTTCTAACTATTAGATTGGTGCAAAAATAATTACGGTTTTTATTCTTTTACCCAAGCAAAAATGTATCTAGTAGAGCAGATTTCAAGACTAGTAGATAGATAGTAATGATTAGATAAGTTTTCTGGCTAGTCACTAGTCTGTGATTGGCTAAATATTCCTATTCAATCTTTTGAACTATCTAGTAACTATACCAATTACATAGATAGTGGCTAGATGAAAAAGATTACACAGTAACGAGATAGAAAATCATCGGTAAATCCTGAATAGAAATTGAATATCAGAACTGTCTAATAACTATACCAGTTATAGTTACAAGTTATTTTTTTTGTATCTAGCTACTAGATAATTTTGTTGATACAGCCACTAGAAGAAGTGAGCGTTACATTTCTAACTAGTAGCGATGTAAGATCCAACTTTTCTGTGTCATTACTAGACAATCACTAGATTCAATTTTTGCTTGAGTAAGTTTGGCGCCGATTTTTCTAGTTACCATTATCTTTTGTTATAGTCATGTGATACATCATTGTAAACAATCAAAATTGGCACTACTAATTACAGCTTATATTTATTATTTTCATTCTTTAGTATTGTTGGATATAACTTCTTAAATTAATCATGGAAAAAAGCAAATTCGCGATTTTATTTTATGAGTTTAAATTGGGACGTAAAGCAACAGAAACTGCTCAAAATTAAAGTTTTTTACGAAGAGTCAATTAGTGAATGTATAGCTCAACACTGATCCAAAAATTTCGTGATGGAAACGAAAGCCTTGAAAATGAGGAGGGTCGTAGGCATCCTTCAGCTATAGACAATAATGATTTAAGAACCATTATTGAAGCAAACCCACGTAAAACAATTTGAGCGATAACAGAAGAACTCAATATTGATCATTCAACAATTGTTTGACATTTGAGTTTAATTAGGAAAACAAAATCTTTATACTCGATACGTAAAAACAGCAATTATTTTTGCACCAATTTAATATATAAATATTCAATTTATATTTAAATATAAATATTTAATATATAAATTTAATATATAAAATATCTCGAGAAATAAAGCCATAATTAAAAATTTAATGACATTCCTAACAGAAATATTAAGCTTTTCATTACGACTAATTTAATAAACATTGTTGCAGTTATTCTTGAGATCTGGGATGCTCACAACCTAAAATACAAATTTTCAGCGGATAATTTTTTTCCAGGCATCAACTGTTTAAGTCTCTTGTACATGTGGCAATAGTACTTTAATATAATTTAAGGTTTTTATACATTGTAAACACACATCAGTTATTTACACGCAAATGCATTTAAATGTATCCGATGTAATTGATATGTGTGTGTGTGTGTGTGTGTGTGGTGATACACGTAATCAAAATAAATAAAACAATATATAAGATCAATAATATAAATAAATAATAAATAATAAAATTATAAATTACATAAAAATGTTATTCTCAAAAAGAAAAATATTTATTATAAATTAAACAGAGATGTTAATTAAAATGAAAAACGTTAAAACACTAAACTGTTAAATATTTTTAAAGTATACAAATTGTACCGAAGACCAAATATATAGAATTCTTAGAATTAATTACTCTACATTTATTTCTTCTCTACTCGAGTGTTAGTGTATAAGCGGGACAGCTAACGCGACTAAAAAGTGAAGTAACATATGTCACACGAATAATACAAATAATAACTAACTATCTCTCAAATATAATAAAATTTTCGTAAATCATGTAAAAAGCTATGATATTATAAAAATAAAATACCTTAAAAAGCTAAACAATAAGTCAAATACATAAAGGCGAACAATGTTGCATGTAAAAATATATATCTAAATAAATTCATTGAAATATATTTAATTTAATAAAAATCCTAACAAAAGAAAAAATCAAAAAACGTATAAAGACTTCTTTTCAAAATCTCGAGAAATAAAGCTATAATTAAAAATTTAATGGCATTCCTAACAGAAACATTAATGTAAGCTTTTAATTACGACTAATCTAATAAGCATTGTTGCAGTTATTCTTGAGATCTGGGATGCTCACAACCTAAAATACAAATTTTCAGCGGATAGCTTTTTTCCAAACATTAACTGTTTAAATCTCTTGTACACGTGGCAATAGTACTTTATAAAAAAAATCAGTACAAATACAGTTTTAACAAAACACTCATAAAAGACAAAAAATTCTAACAAAAACCTAACAAAAATTCTTTATGAAAACCTAATAAAAATATTTCATAAAAGTGCGTGCGCGCTCCTAACAAAAACTTTTAGAAAAAATTTATAAAAGGTAAGACTAAATCAAAAAGTAACATGAAATCAGTAAAATGAGCCAAGTATATAATTAATTTTAATTACAATAGACGATAATTAATATTTCCTCAGTACTTGCAACAATTATTATAATTTTATCATTATAAAAAATATATTTTAATTTCACTAACATAAAAATACATAAGTTCTAAGTTATATCTGTCCTATTGATTAAAAATTTATATGAATTGTAAATCTCAAAACAAGCTCTTAATTAAGACCACAAGTACAAAAACTTGGCGTGCTCGGGTCATATAACCACTTACAATATGCACACACACACACATTGCACGAAGGGTACGTTTCTTAATATACATTAAAAATATGTATTAATGTAACGAAATATATGTAATAAGCTTTTAGGTCAAAAACAAATTAAGAGAATTTTTTAATTAATTAATAAAACAAATTAAGAAAATTTTAAAATTCTATAAGAGTCATGCATTAAAATTGCATTAATATTGCGTGCGTGCGTGCGTGCGTGCGTGCGTGCGTGCGTGCGTGCGTGCGTGCGTGCGTGCGTGCGTGTGTGTGTGTGTGTGTATGTAGGAGTGATGTAATCAAATATGAATATAACAACGCTATATGTAACAAGGTTTTTATCAAAACCAAATTAATCTTATATTTTCTCCAATTAATATAAGCTATATATAATTAGATCTCCCTAAGTATTAAAACTAAATTAATCTTATATTCGTGTTCAAAAATTATGAACTTTTCCTATATTATCTTCTTAGTATAAATAAATATATTTAAAAATACTTATATAAAAGATTTATAGCATTCTAAATGTTTATAGGTTTATAGAACCAAGGTATTCATAAAAGATTGTATATATTCTAATACGACCCAAGCACGTCAGTCATTCACAATATTATCTAACGTATGACTCTTATAAAACTTTAAAATTCTCTTAATTTATTTTTGTTTTACTTTAGTTGGTCTTAATTAAAAGTCTATTCTATGAGATTTAAAATATTATAAACTCTCAATCAATAGAATAGATATGACTTCCCAGCAAACGTTACATATAACATACATTTTAATTGTAATTTCCTATTCAATAATATAACTGTTATATAACACGTATGTTATATAACAGTTACATTGTTGAGTAGGAAATTATAACTAATATGTATGTTACATGTAACGTTGTGTTTGCTGGATTAGAACTCTTATATATTTTTCATAATAATAAAATTTGCTGCAAGTGCTGAAGGAATATTAATTATGGTCAATTGTAACTTGATAAAATGAATTATATACTTGAGTTATTTCATTTATTGATTTCATATTCTTTTTTTTATTCAGCTTTATTTTTAAAAGTTTTTTATAGAACTTTTTGTTAAATTTTTATGAAAGATTTTCATGAAAAGTTCTTAGGGTTCTTAGAGTTCTGTTAGTTTTCTATTAGGATTTTTACACGGTTTCTTATCGAGTTTTTTGTTAGCCTTTATATTTTTTATAAGTGTTTTGATAGTTAAAATATTATATGATTTATTGATCCTCCGATCGGATGGTTACAATTTAAACGCGATAATGTTAATAATAACGCGAGGTGTGTTCATACGTGCCGACAACTTCTCGATTATCACCTATTATGATCATTAACGTGATCGCGATAACGCGAGAACGTAAACACTCGCAGTATATAATGGCACTCACTTCCGGTATCTCGGTCGTGTCCGGTACGTCCCTGGTGATGTCCGGATCCGGCGGTCTGTGTTCCGGTACCAACGCGCCGTACTTCCTCGACGCCATGCGCCGTCGTCGGTCCAGCCATCTCTGCTTCTCTAGGGCTTCCGATTCTTCGTCGACCCCGAAGAATTGCGCCGTTTCACGTCTGATGTAACTGTGAAGAAAATACACAAAGGAATGATACATATCGTGCCTTATTTCGAGCAACATTCGATTTCAATCGCTTAAAACTGGCCAATCGTTCCGTTCATTTGTCACTTAAGGTATTTGACCTGCAAAACCATTTTCTTAAGAATCCCTTTAAATTTTGAATTACATACTAACTTTTTCAGAAATTCTGATTGGAAATTGACTGCTCAAGAGCTAAGGGATTTGCAATTAAAGTTAAAGTTTTTTATACGTATTTCTTGAGATTAAGGTTCTATTTTTAACTTCTATTTTTATTTTGCTAAACTTTTATATAGAATTATAATAAAAAATTATAATTATATTAAAGAATAATATATAGACACACATGTTGTATGAAAATTTCTGAATTATTAAAAATATATTTTGTTTTAAAAATGCAGCGATAAGAAATTCATAATGTATATTAATATTCGGAGTATGTATGTGTGTGTACACACACACACACACATATACATATATATTTGAACATATATCTCTTCCAAATATCTCTGTACTTCTATTATATTAACACTGATGCATAAGTTAAAAAAAAACATTACTAAGAAATATGAAAAAGAATATTTTCGTACTTGAAATATTGTGTATAGTATACAGGGTGTCCCGCGTAAGACGTACAAAAAGAAAAATATAAGTAAAACACATAAAAGTAAACAAAAATTGTATAGGTCATTTTTCAAACAACCACGTAAAATTTCGAGATATAAAATAAAATAGTTGAGCATATCAAAGCGCGGCGACACGGCAGGCGGGATATACGGCTCGCCGCGGCCGGCGAAGAAAATGGAAGAACGCACACGTACACGGACGCACACACGGAGCTACTCATTTCAGTATGCCAAACGGTCCACTTTTCTGGCCTATAAGATAGGCCCACGAGCAATCGTCCATTTTCTTCGCCAGCCACGGCGAGCCATATGTCCCACCTGTCGTGTCGCCGCGCTCTAATATGTTTAAATATTTTAATTAATATCTCGAAATTTTACGTGGTTGTTTGAAAAATGGCCTATATAATTTTTGTTCACTCTTATCTGTGGTAATTATGCAGTAGGGGACCCACCTCCGATGACCTTGATCTTGATATATATTATCAAGGACACTCTCCTAAATAACCTTTAAAAAATTTTAGCCGTCGCTCATTGTTTATTAAAAAGTTATTAACAAAAGAAGTTTTGGTAATTATAGACTATAGAAGAGTCAGCTCCAATGACCTTGACCTTGACATATATTATAGAGGTCACCCTCCTGAGTAACTCTCAGAAGGTT